AGTGAGTTCCAGGAAAGGCGCAAAGCTACACAGAGAAACCCTGTCTCGAGGGGGGAAAAAAAAGTGTTCTTATGCTCAAAGGCTGGCAGTTCTGTGGGAGCTGAGTCCATGATGATGTAAAGTTATCCCTGTCTGAAGGTCAAGAGGCCTTTCTGTGTGGAATGTGGATATCTGAAACTCAGCTTCCCAGGCGACAGGCAGACTGAGCGGTTTTCCAGTGAGTTGCTTTAGAGTTACCTTGTGTTTCCTTATCACCAGGTGCAGGCTGAGTCTCGGGGACAGAAAGGGGTGCTACAGCAGCCACACAGGTAACCATCCTGCACCTGGACTTGTGCGTAGATCAGAATGATGCGGGTAGGCGGCAGCACTTCCTCACGCAGCTGGGTGGAGGGGAGCATCTGCTTTTGATGCCCTTACTCTGACTGCTGAGTGGTTTTGTTTCTTCTCTGGGTTGTGCAAGGTGAGAGGCTCTCCTGTGACAAACAAAGCAGCTGCCGTCTTCTGACTCCCCCCTCTGATTTGAGATAGGGTCTTATGGTCAAGTCCCATTTGGCCTGGGACTTACTAAGTAGACCTGGTTGATCTTTAAAACTCCCAGAGGTCCACCTGCTTCTGCCTTCCAAGTGCTAGGATTAAAGGTATGTGTCATCATGCCTGGCCCTTCTTTGTGATTTTATGTTCCCATTTTGTGTTCCAAAAAAGCCCATAAGCCTATGATGGATGGTGAGTTATCCCTGTCTGAAAATTTCAACTGAGGGAAAAGACTCTGTTCTGAGGCTTAGGGGTGTGGCCCCATGCTTGAAGAAATTCGAGCTTTATAAGGGATCAAGTGGGCTCCATAAAGAGCTGTGTGTGCCCTGCTGGGACAGCCTTCCAAAACCTGTGGTCCGATGGCCCTGTAATCCTCTCCCTTGAGTGAAGGCTCTGAGGCTGAGGGCAGAGCCCCCGAGTTGTTAGCAGAAACGGGCCTGTTGCCAGGGCTCCTTCTGTACTCACGGAGTGAAAGGGGGTTTGTCACATACTTCTAGAAAATGAATGTGCTCTTTGGAAGGAGGCAGGAATGTAAGGCCTGTGCCAGCTTGTGCCTTGAGAATGCCTACTGACCCTGTCCTTGCCTCTGCAGCAGTTCTGACATTTAGGAAGGAAGGTGCTTGATACTATTTAGGTCCTGGCTAAATGTCGTGGCTGCTTGATGGGCACCAGAGAAGCAAGAAAGCAAGTGGCGTTGGGGTGGTGTGGGCGGCCTCAGTAACCCTGTCTCGGTGGGTGGTGGGTACAGGCTTTCTTAACTTCCTCACCTAAAGTAGCTGCACTTGGGTGAGATTTACTGAGCCCTAGCTGCCTACAGGGAAGCAGGTCTGCCTGGCTTTGCTCCTGGGTGGACTCAGGTTCATGTCCAGAGGCAATAAGTTGAATGTAAATATTCCTGTTGCTACATGGGAGTTCTTTTGACCATTACCAGAAACTTCTGTCTCCTTAAAAAAAAAAAAAACAACCAACTAGTTCATCAGCCTGCATTGGAACTTTGACATGACAGTGCCCGCCTGTGCTCAGTGCACAGAATGCCTGGTAAATGATAGTGGCATGAGCCCCGGGCTGATTGTACTGGTTTCCAAATTCTTCAGTTTTGAGTCACTAAGTTAGCAGGCTGTTAGCTTCACTTTTTTTTTTTTTCCTCCAGGTTATTGCCCTGTAGTGCCCTGCCGCCACCCTTAATCTCCCAGAGAGTGTCATCAGAAGACCTTGGAGTTTGATCTGCCAAAGTGGCCAGCAGAGTCAAGTGACTGCGATCACCATGGGAAGCCTCTGGCAGCTACCGAGTGTTCTCAGTTGGAGGCACCGGGGAGGCAGGTGCTGTGTCTAAAAAAGCATTTCTCACAGTGGATTTCCTGAGAAATCAGGGTTGGGCTTTGTGTTTTGAAGCACAAATAAACTTTGTAAAATTTAACTCACTAGCGTTGTGGATGTGAGATTGAGGAGTGTTACAGAATAACACTTGAGCCTAAGTGCAGAGAATCAGACCATTTCTATTGACCTGCTTGCCGCCGCTTAGCATTACCTCGCACTTAATCCAGTGATGATGGGTTGGTGAGATAACTGTTGAACACTGACTGTTCCAGAACACCTGGGTTCAGTTCCAGTACCCACATGGTGGCTCACAACTATCTAATCTTAGTCCCAAGGAATGTTGTACCCTTTTCTGGCCATCATGGGTACCAGGCATGCAAGTGATGCACAGACCAACATGCAGGCAAAATACCCATACACATAAAAATAGGTCTTAAGAAAAGTCAGTGGTTCGGGGCTGGAGAGATGGCTCAGCAGTTAATGTGCACTGACTGCTCTTCTAGAGGACCCATGTCTACATGGCAGCTCACAATTGTCTGTAACTCCAGTACCTGACACCCTCACACAGACATATGCAGGTGAAACACCAGTGCACATTACCAAAAAAAAAAATGGTTCATTGATGAAAGTACTGCTAATGTGTCTGCACTGTGGATCAAAGGGTGCCAGGAAATGTGGGTTGCCAGGGCAGTGGGGTTTAAGTACAGTTGGCTGTGAGGTCCTGGAAGGGACTGAGGTAGTCTGAAGAACTGACAGGATTGTGAAATTAGTTGGCAGGGCTCCTGAGAGTCTGTTTACCCCCCATTCTAACTCCTGCTCTTGGGGTAGCAAGAGGCTGTGGTTTTCCCAGTAACTAAAACCCAGGCCGGCCTAAGCTCATTCTACCCCAAACTGGACCTGTCTCAGCCTCCCCAGTTCTGGGATTACAGATGGGAGCCACTATGGTCACTGTTGGGCACATGGTCTGCTGGTTGGCCTTGTAGACCAGGCTGGGACCATCCCCCTGGACTGGGAATAAAGGTTTTTAAAGTTGTTAGGTCGTTAGTGATGAGTTTATCCCTCCCCACCAGTTTTTCCAAACCATGGAACCAAATGTCAGTCCTCAGCCGTGGGGGGTCGGCCAGGATAGGTGTGCTGCTGTGGGGTATCCAGCCAGCAGTCCTTGGGCACCCACTGTACCCCCAGCCTGCCACAGTTTTAGGGGTGTGATACTTTGGTTGGAGACTGAGATGGCTTTCCAAAGCTCATGACACTGATAGCGCCTCAGTTGATGTTTATTGAATCTCTGATGTGGGGATGAGGGTCTGTCACTCGGTGGTGTCCTGTTGGTGACAAGGAGCGGCATGTCTCCAGTAGGACTTCTCTCAGTAGTGGCAGCTTGTGTGTAGCTGGTCAAGAGCTGGTGCCTCCCGTACGCTGGTGCTGGATGTGCTTAAAACCTGGGCCTTGGTGCTTGTGCCTGCGAGATAGTCACGGTCCTGAGCTGCACCTCACCCATCCCTCCAAACTAATCAACACAAAAAGGACGAAATGGTCATCCATCACTTACCCTATTAGCTAGCCTCAAATTACATTCTGCCTCTGGTTTTCGCTGTCTGTCACAAGGCAGTAATGTCATGTTCTCAGAAAGCTTAAGATGTCCTCACAGGTTGAATGGCTCTGGCATTTGGGACTTGACATGCCATTGGTTTCTGCTAGGAGTGGGCTTCTGCTTGGTACTGGTTACCAGATAGCCTGGAGTGGTTCTAACGTTCCTAGCTGCTCAGAACCAGGTGCTGGCATTGAACTACCAGCCTCTTTGCTGGTGAGGATCACTGTCTCATTTGGGGGTATTAAGGTTCAATTTTAAAACAAATTCTGCAAAGCAGTCTGCCCTCCTCTGGCTAAGCCAGAGAGTTGTCAGGTCGATGGTGTCGTACATTGAACAGGCTCTGGTGACGTGATGGCCGTGGGTCTTGTCTCAGTACCCTCTGGGGGAGTGATGCCTCTTCCAGGGGTTGAAAGGTCAAGAAAAGTACTTTTGAAGTAAAGAAATCGGTACTGTGGTGTCAGCGCTGGTACAGCCAAAGGATGCCAGCGTTATGCAGGCTCTTCCACAGCGAGGCTTCCAGGGGAAGATCGTGGTTTGCGTAGAATATCACTGGTTTCTTTTCTCGTTCGAAATAGTGGTCTGAGTATTTCTGGTAGTTGCTTGTGATGAATCCGTAGGCACTGACCTAGGCAAGGACAGTCATGGTTAGCTTTTATTGAGCCACAGGGTGCAGTGAAGGGACTTGAAATGGTGTGCCTGTCCCCAAGCGGTTCCCTTAGGGTGCAGATAGACGACAGCTCAACATGCGTACTGTACCCCGTGTACACATTCTCACAAGATGAGTCAACGCCATCGAACAGAGTGGGTAATTGGTAATTACAAATGTCCCCATTCAGACAGTGGCAGAGCTGGCTTTAGAACTTAAGTATGACCCAGACAGACATCATGATCTTGAAGTTCAAGGATGGAGGAAGTCTACAGTGACTATAGTTGGGACACCAGAATTAAAATAGGTAAGGTGGACAGGGACAGGGTGCTGTCTGGCTTCCATCCCTCATGCCTTTACAGGGATCACAACTCCTTTTTAAGGTACCAAGGATGGAGCGAGCCTAGGGCCTCATGCTTGCTTCATCTGTATCCACAGCTTGCCTTTGAGAGCTAACAGTCAACCTCTCCCTGCCTCTTCACACATCACCAGGTGGCACCCTACTGGGAACCTTTGACCAGAGTTCCAGAGTTCCTGCATGTGGAAGGCTGAATCCGCTGTCCGTGCCAGCTCTAGGCTGTCCCCAGCTAGATTTCGCTTTCAGAAGAGCTGTCTGACCCATACCAACTTAAATACCACGTAGAGTAAAAACTGAGCAGGGTTGTCAGTGAAGCAGGGCTGACCCAGATCAGACCCTCCTGGATGATGGGAGTAAGCAGGTAGATGGGCACTCCTGCTGCTGGGGAGTCCTGTCTGCTGCTGTGTCCCACTTGTGGGTGGCTAGCCTTGGGAAGGACTGACTAGTGGGCCACAGGGAGTTGTGCTGGCAGCCATGCTGTGCTGCCACGGCTCCTGGAGCCCACCACCTACCTGGTCACAGGTGTGCAAGGCTGTCAGCAGCATGAGTGCTCCTGTACTAGGCATATACAGATCTGCGAAACGTGTGTTCAGCAACTTGGATTTCAAAAACCTGGAAGGACATCAGAAGCTTTAAACCCTGAGAAGGGGCTAGTGGGAGAGTTGAGTGAGTAACACTCTTGTCACACAAGCTCGAAGACCCCATCTGGATCCCCAGCAGCCATATACAACTGAGCACAGTAACACACATCTGTAATCCCAGTTGTCTATGGTGAGATGGGAGGCAGGGACGCAGAATCCCAGAAACTCAAAGGTCGGCTAGCCTGGCGAACTTCAAGAGAAAGACAAAGTAGAGAGGAGATGATGCTAAGGATACACCCTAACCTCCATGTACTCCTGCTTGTGTGTTTCTCTCCCTGCCCAGCCTCCCCACAGATTTACATATGACCTGAGAAGGACAGGTAGGTGTCACATGCCAGTGCCATAGTTGCAGTGCTGGACTAGTCTACCCACTCAAACAAACCGTAGAAGTTCAGAAACTGGCCCTTTACTCCAATTCTCTACTTAGTGAACATCCAAGTGATCTAAGTGTGAAGATTTTAGGACGAAGTAAACAACTTATGGGGTGAGACCCCCCTCCATTCTACAACTGTTGTCTTCCACTCCAATATCTTCAATGTTTGGGCACACACAGATGGCCTCATTATTTAAACTGAGACCCAAGTTTCTCTCCCCCACACAACTGGAGGAGCAGGAATCATGGATGAGCAGGGAGCTCACTCAGATCCTAGCTCTGGGTTCACTGGTGTGATAGCACCCACAGGTGCTGACCTCAGACCTGGATTTATGTCTAAAGCTTGACTGGGCAGCTCACTCAAGCTCACAGAGCTTCCGCTGGCCTTTCTGCACCTACTGCGTCAAGCACTTTGTTGAGATACGAGCCTTTGTGTTGTACAGCGTGTTTCTCAACTGTAGGACGGGTAGCATTGGGCACCACTGCTGGACCTGTGCACTGAAGGATGTTTGGCAGATCCTTGGCTTCTACCTACTAATGTCATGCCCTCCATGACAACCCAGACGATGTCCTGACAGAACCAAATATCCAATCTAACCTACTGAGAACCACCACCGAGGAAGGGAGGGAGAGGTCAGCTCAGGCTGTCTGTTCCCCTCACTTCTCCCATCAGTGGCTTTTGGAACCAAAAGGGATGATATTAGACTTTTAGTACGAACACCGCTGTACACTGGGCTCTGTGAAGGTTCCTAGAACTCAGCTTCTTTGGGTTCTCCCACTTCTTGTTTTGTGCTGACTGTCCACTGGATCAGCAGCACCCTATCACTGTCTAAGTCAGTAAGCGAATCACAGAAGCATTTAGCACAGTGATGAGCACATGGCACTCAATACGGGGGTGCTGTCCCAGTGTGTAGGGAGTGAGACCCAGCTGAAGGCACTAGAAATACGTGGGATAGCTGTGAAAAGGGAAAGCAGGTCCTCCCATCTCCCCACCCCATCCCCATCCCCCATACCTCTCTGTCAGGTAGCGGATGAAGTCTGGATGCAGGAGCTTGAATTTACTGGCAGAGGTTTCTGGTCCAAAATAGGTGTGAGGCCTAGGACCCACGATAGAAGTGGACAGAGCGTCCAGAACCATCGTATTGAAGGGAGAGCGAGGGGAGCGTTAACCGCCGGTGGTAGCGGTAGGGCCTGGGCTGGGAGTAGAAGCGGGAGAAGGGGGTATAGAAGGTAGCTGGTAGCACCGAGGGTACCACGTGTGGCTTCCCCTTCAGCAGGACCTCCGTCGGTGGAGTGTAGGAGAGGGAGGATGGGGGTGTGAACAGGGCTGGAGGTGTGGGGTAGGAGCAGTTCACCTGGGGGAGGTGAGGGGGTGGGGGGAGGAGAGGGAAGTAGAAAGAGTCAGGCGGTGGCGGCGGCTGCCGGGATTCCTGGTTCTGGCACGGGAAGGGACAGGGGAAGCACCGATTTTGCGGAAGAGGTACTGTAGGG